AGTACGTTGCTGCATATTTATTATTAGTGAAGAATGACTACCGAATCGGCGAAGGAAACCTGGTGATTTTTCAGAACGATCAGGCAACTGTAGGAAGAGAAGAGACAGGCACACGTCAGTGCCATCTAGCAGCTCAACGTGCGGTGTGAACGGCTGATGGCGTCGAATGGTCGGCACTCCCTCGTTCCCATCTCTCAACCAGACAGCTGAGCACATATCAGACCCCGTCGATGTTACCATCGTATACGGAAAAACTACAGAGCTGCACATTCGCTCCCAAAGGCTTCGAAGCTTACCTCTTTGTGGATAACCCACTCGCGGTAGACTACTATACAAGCCAAAGTGTCTCATGCAGAAAGCCGAACGAATACGAGCTCAGAAGAGTCCCTGCCTAAACTATCGAACTCTACTTGTTTCTTGAGCTTCTTCGTACAGCCAAACCACGTGCCAAGACTACCCATCAGAGGCAAGCGCACGTAATTATATTACAAACCGTGAGACCCAGCGCCGTGCTGTAAGCGAATCTTTTAACTTCACTGACGAACGTAATTGAGGCACAGGGGATACCTCTCACTTAATTGGGAAAAATCCCGTCATCTAACTTCAAAACCTATGCTCTCAGAATTACTCTTTTCGCGGAAAAAACAATCGGAGATTGCTACAAATACGTGTAGTATGCGCTCATCTTGGTAGATATACGGGGTACAGCTGCCCATAGGGTACTGGAGATTTCATCTTCGACGACAAACCGTCGTAGCTGTATTTTGACGCGTTAGCGTCCAGTCCACGCATGGCGCGGACAGCGATCTGGGCTTCGGTCTTCAAGGCCGTGCTGACGCGGCTCCTGTTTGCCGGGCACACCATGATACTGATCCACCTGGTGGTCCTTCTCAAGCAAGACACCACGTACTACCTGCTGACCTTAGCCACGCTGACCCAAGTCATCGAGGGGCTATTCACCATGGTCTGGAACAAGGGAGGCGAGTGGAAATGGTAAGGAGAACCTTTGAATTGCCGTCGTTCTTTTTCCAGCTCATGGTCTTCTTGTCATTGCCAATTCCGGCAGACAGCCCACTTCACCGGCGAGGGGGATTTCCTCTATAATCCCGTGTCAAGTCAACTCACCCCCCTGGCCGACTCGTTCCTTACAAACTCGCCCCGTGATAACCGACTCGCCATGGCAGATTCGCCCCCAGGCAAACTCGCCATTCAGGGCTCAACGACGACTTGCACAGTTTTTCTTTTTGATGATTCATGATTACTTTCGGTGAATTCCAAACCCGTTTTCCTGAGTTTGCTTTTATTTTTCGGCTGTTGAGAATCTGATTCTTTTGTGCTGTCAATTCATGCAACGATCGTTTTCTTTCATCCTTTGTTTGAACAGCTCTCTTTACTGCATCCCTCCATTACCTATGAAAAAAAAAAACAATAAATTTGTGTGAGTGACAGTGTTCTCTTGCGAGAAAAGATTATGCTCCAAGTTTCAGTTTGCCCGCGGTCCACCTCAAACTGGGTTGTCGTTCCTTGCTCGCTTATATCTTTACCCGCCCATGCACTCGATCCTACTAGTCCTTGCCTCGGCTTTGGTCGTCTTGTATATCGACATAGCGTTAGTTTTGTTCACAGACTTAAAAAAAAGCAATTGACTGATTCGCGAGCAAATTTGAAGAGCCATTTTGGCATCTAATCGTTAACTCCCATTTTAGACCCACCTCCCCTTTTTCAAGCTTTGGCAGCAGTGGCGTATCTAGCCGGGGGCAGCGGGGGGGGGGGGAAACTTGCTCCCCGGACGGATTGGTTGTTGTTGTTATTGTTGTTGTTGATAAAGCATAATTCATAGGTAAGAAAACAATCGGTTTATTTATTTATCAAATCATTAACACAAAACCCCAGAGAAAACAACACCATGAAACAAAAGCAAGGATGTCGGGACCGCTAGTAAGGTTTTTTATTTTTCTCTTCTCTAACATCATGTTGAATGAGCCCCAATTTAAAATAAAAAGCCGCGTTTGCTTTTGAATTTCCCCCACCCCTGACACCAGCGGAATACGCCGCTGTTTGGCAGTGATCTCATTACTTGTTTGCAGGAAAAGGGTAACCCAAACTTAACCTTCCTCCAAACTTGAATCAGTCCATCAGAACTTCATCAACCCAATGATACTGAATGGCTTCATATACGCTTTATGACCTTCATTTGGATCAATACAGCACTGTTTGCCAAACTATTTTATAATTATCTGAACTTTCCAGTTTTCAGGCTGCCCTAATTACGTATAGAGCCAGCCCTCATATAGCCAAAGAACCTCATTGCCACATATTGATCTCAGCTTGTTGACTTTGTCAACAACTTTTCGACATCAAGCTCTCTCCGGCGGAGCTGTGCTAACAAATTAATGTCGTCATATGCAGCTCTGCCCCCCGATATTGATGTTAAAAGTGATACACAGAATGTTCACTCTAGGCGCCAAGGAAGAAAACAGAGAAAAGCAGTTTAAATGAGGTCAGATTAATTTGAATGATGAGCTCCATTTGCTAAACTCGGGCCGTACACGAATGGAAGAAAGGTAGATGTTGCGTGTGGATAAACTGGCATAATAGGAATACAACTGGTTCAACGTATAATGAAAGAATGCCATAGTTGAACTCATCAGTCGATACAATGGCAGACTTTGTGACGCTTGGTGGCGGCAGACAAACTGGTCCTTTTTGCCAGTTCTGGGCATGCGCGGTAGTTTTGAGCGTGCGCACAATACTGGAAAGGGCTGGTTTGTCTGCCGCCACAAAGCTTCTCAATGTCTCCTATTGACTGGAATTTCTCCATCAAGGGAAATGACATCTAATTCGTACCCTTTCTTTAATTAAAAGGGCAACCATATACGCAAATGCAACAAAAGTAAGTCCAATTGTTGAATGGACAAGGCTTCAGACATTTCAGTGCCAGCCGACGGAGCTGATGATATAGTCAAGCACTAAAGAACAATTGATCATCAAAACATTACACGTGCGCCTTTTTGACGGACAGGGTTAATTACTGTCAACCCTGGAAAACACCTCAATCCACCCGTCAAATTTATTCCTGCACGCTCGCCACCCCCAGATCGGTCAAAACCAACTCAAGATTTCTGCCGCCGGCTGGTTTCGTGTGTTGCCCGGGGCGCGTGCTGTTTTGTTATTGTGATATTTGTCAAGTCATCCGACGACAGTTTAAAAGTAAACAACCTGCTAATCGATCACGACACACTGATTTACTCCACTGCAATACGACAAGGGACTGTTTATTAAAAACGTGGTGGCATCAGTCGGACGTATTGATGATTTCGAAGTCAAATTACCTCGAGACTTTTTTAACTTGCCCCGTGTTTGCCATACTTCAGTGCACAAACATCCAAACCCATTAAAGCTGACGGAATTGTACGACGAGGCCGTTCAGTATTTCAAAAAGAGCAAGTTCGCACGAGAATAAAGTATTCAGCGTGGAATATGGCTGCGCTGATCGGACAGGCCTTGCCTCCCTGCACTGCAGTTCCCGAATGACCCCGGACAATCTTCGTTTTCGGCAAGCGCTCTTGGACTAGCGAACTGGCTCGCCGATTTTTTTCGGAGTGGTTATGTCTTTCACGTACCAAGTGTGAAGATCTACACTGTCACGAAAATTTTCAAACCTTTCGAGATATTGCAAGGAAACTATTAACGTTGTTTGAAAGTTAAAAGGGCATTCAGTATTTCTTTTATTTCGTGCACACGACATTAGAATCGGTGTGTACGACTTTGTGTCTAGATCGTGTGTACGACAGTTAAATGGCGAACTCGTGCAATTTTCCCTCGCGCCATGCGCACGAGGCAATTAGTGCCTTCGCTGGAGATATTTGGTCATTTTCATATCAGAAATCCGGCTGGTCACTTCGAGTGAGATCGAGTCCCTGCACAGTCATCCAATCCTTACCTCCTTTTGGAGAAGCTTTTAAGGACCGGCAAGGCATGATGAAACATGTACTTTGCCATTGTCCACAATAAGTTGCCGCCGGCGGGTGGGGGTATATACCCCTCAAGGTTTTGACCACGGGGATGGGCTATTGAATCATCCTCCCCTTTCATTGGTGAGGAAAAAATAATAAAGTAGGTTTTATCAAGAAAATAAAGTAGCTTCCAAACAACCAAAATGTATCCATAAGCACTAAATTAAAAGGGGAACGAAAAAATGAAGAAAATGGATACCCTTCACGTAAGGTGCACGGGTGTACCAATAGGCCTACACATAAAAGATGTATACATCGTTTCATAAACAGCGTCCCCAGTATGGCGTCAGCAGCCCCCCTCCCCCCTGTCTAATTTCCATGGCTGGGCATTTTTATATTTGATCTGCGTCATCTCCAGTCTCTCTGCACAAGTTTACGACATTGTCTGCTGCAACATGGCATGACGTTATAGAACATAATAGAAGACGGTTTATATTAAACTCGAAGGACTCCGGACAATGAGCTGATGAGTTATTATGGGTGGTTTTTTCGCGGTGAAACATGAAAGGGCTTTCATTGTCTCGATGAGTAATTATTGCTCTCATCATGCGTACAAGGCTGATTTTCACAGTCCGGTGCTTGATGGATTCGTTCTCAGTGCATTGTTCATAGTCAATAGGCCTTCCTCCGGTCGAAGGTATTACTTTATAATCGTTAAGCTCAAGAGAAGCTGTCTCTGTTCACCCCTACTTTTATCACTTCTGGATAGCGAGTCACCAAACAAAATAGAGTTGCGCATGCGCAATGTGATACGGTACTGCGCAGTTGTAAACGGAATGACTTGATTGCAAGGCTTGAATAAAGACTGTGAATTTTTTTCCTCATGCCGAACGTTCTAATCTGGGGCGCACCTGTGGACACTTTCGTACCGCATGACGTAACTTAAACGGGCCTTCGAAAAATGCACTTTGCAATACGGGCGTTTCACAATAGCGCGCCTCCAAGAGTTTGCAACGCGTTGGCCAGTCACAATGCGCGAAATCTGTCGACCCAGTGCGCGTTTGGAAAGGGGCGACAGATTTCCCGTATTGTGATGTCCTATCCAGTCTATATAATGGAGATCAATGTGAGTACCAAAAAACACGCCCTCTTTTGTTCCTCTCGGCGCGGATTGGATAGCGCAAACCATCTCTTGGATTACTGGTATCGCGATCCAGATCCATGTGAAACAAACAGGCCCAATAAGTAGATTTATTGTTGTGCGAGCGTAACCGATGTTCCTGACTTTTATAACTGTGATTAACATCTGTCTTGACCATAGGTTCTGTCCCGGTGTAGTGGTGTTCCTGATTGGCTCAGTGCCAGCTATCTGGCTACTCGAACTCGAAATCTACGAGCTTCGATCGACTTCCAAAAGAACGACGGAAGAGGGTGTTATGGTGGATGATGTCAATAAGGTAGGTTTTACCTACAACGATTTCAACAAGCCATACCAGCAGATATCGTTTACACCGTGTGCAACAAAAGCAAAAGCTACAAAGAGCATATACGCCTATACACATCATCACATCGGCACAGTGTTTGCCAACAAGCACGCTACACGCTAAAAAAAAACTCCCTTCCGTTGAGCCCGTCTCTTTCCGAGTCAAAATGACCCAGGAGAGAGGCATGTTTTGAACTGGGAAAGAGTCAAGCCCCAGAGAACTAGGATTTTAGGTCAATCTGGAGAGCAAATTTTAAGGGTGTAGCATCATAGCGTTTGCATTCAGACGGCTTGTGATGGCACAATTTGCCAACCAAAAGTAATGATTTATGTGGGACGAATGACCCTGTTGCATTCAGGATGAAGATATCCAAAAAGCCTTGGCCGACCCTCTGACAACATTCAAAACCTTTATGCCTGCAGCAGCGTCTCATCTCAGCAAAGTATGACGAGGAATTTGCATACCACCAGTCATGTGCTTAACACGAAGCCCATGAAAACCAACATTCACGGAGCTCGAAGACTAGTCTTGCTGATGATGTTTTCCGTTTGCTCTTCAGGGCCAATGCGTGGCGAGAATGAAAAAAAAGCACTTGTGTGATATTTGCCCATCTTCGGTGCTTGGGTTTACAACGGATCTGCATCTCAAGATACAAAATCAACGACAACTTGGGGCAAGCTCGGGTAGCTGACTACCTGACTCAGAGCCTCATGGCTGCAAGGCCGTAGAGAGAAGATTACAGAAAACATCACTGATAACTATGTACACCTCACCACGGGCTTTTAGATTATCAACTTGTTTCTTAAATTACCCCTCTAGTGTAGAGTTACACGTCTAGCATGGCTGAATTCTGCTCTCTGAATATATGCTTTGGCTGCCGAGTAGACTGTGTCAGGCTTTTTCTAACACCACGTGGCTCCATAGTACCTGTATGCTGAAACCAATTTTTAACCGGGAGTTTTTTAATGAAGGTTGACTTTGATGATCATCTTGCCCACGCTGAGAGTTTTGAATGTTGCCACCATTCCCAAGTACTCCCACAATCCTTGGGAGCTGATTGTCTCAGTGTTTCCAGGGATAAGTCTGAACATGAACGCATTACGCGTTAATTCGCAACACTGTGAGCGCGCTTCACACTAACCTTATACAAGTGCCAAGGTTGGACGACAACTACACTGACCACTGGTCAAAAGTTTTTTTGCGCGCGCAGTATACATTTCCACTCGAATGCCCTGGTCAAACCGTTTTCCCCAAATCCCACCGTTTACCACGTCCGTTGCATCTCTCGTTGCGTTCAAACATAGTCTCTTCCATCTCGTACGATTACATTCTTGTCGATGGTTCCCTGTATTTACAAAAATGGCTATTGATAACGAGCGATACGATCATGCTCTTGGGCCTGTTCGTTATGGTATTTTGGATCACGTTGGTCGAAATATAGCCGATCAAACTTGTCACAGGCAGTCCTGGCTATGACATCCCAGATACTCTGAGTCTAGATCTGCACAAGTTACCAGCATCATTTTTTGTTGCATACCACAGGTATACGGTGTTATCATAGAGTGGATTCTAATAACGGAACAAATGCTGCCCCTCTTGCTCATCGTGGGTCGTTGGCTGCTGCCAAAGGGCGCCATCACCCGAGACGAGCTGTCCCAGCTCCTGCTCGTCTACTTCGCCACAGCGTCCGACATCATCGAGTTCTTTGACGGCTTCAAGGAACCTGCCATCAGGTACAACCGCCAGTTGGTCGTCACCCTTCTCACACTGTGGAGCTGGAGCCTGCTGCAGTTCTCGCTGGTCACGACGGCTACCAGGAGCTCGGTGACCAAGCCCACTGGCCAATCAGAGTCGACGTCGACAACGACGACGCAGGCGAGGAGAAAAGGTCTGTTGCAGAGGGCGGTGTTTAAGCGATTCCCGCGCCTAGCCGCCTCTCGGGCCGTCGCACCGGTGTGCCCTGCTAACCCTCTCCTCCGTGACCCGGTTGAAGGGTTGATAATTCCCGTCAAGCCAGAGCACGAGGTACGGGAAGACGCCACCCCGGCCTGCACGTGCCTGGAGAGCGACGTCTGGTCCGTGGTGGCCAGCATCATCCTGCAGGATGGGCCCTTCCTGGTCTTCCGACTAACGCTCATCACCCACTTCCGGGCCTACAGCCACACCAACATCTTCTTCACCTGTAAGAACCTGATCGTGGTGGCTCTGCAGGCGTATCGGGTCCTGGTTCTGTACGCGGAGAGGCGAGAAAAGCAGAGGCGGGACAGAAAGAGGAAGGAGAAGTTGGCGAAGAGGCTGGCTGAGCTGAAGAAACAAGGCTACAGTTTCCCGCCAGAATTGGAAGCCGACATTGTAGTAGCAGACGATACGTCCGACTTGGATCCCTACGTTGCTGCAATGCTGCGGCCCGAGTGAAGTCCTTCTGTTGGTTTAACTTAATGTGCATTTTTGCTAATATATAGTCTTCAGCATTATTTTGTCTCTTATTATGCAAATGTCGTCGAGGTGCTTGTGTTGCATTTTATTCAAAATGAACTTGGTATGTTGCAGTTGGTTGCGAAATGAAATAGATAACTCAACTTTAAAGACTATCTGTGTCAAGTCGTCAAAGTAGGACCATATGTCGCATGCTATTCACTCTTTGCACGCTGCCGCCATAGGCACGCAGAGCCTCGAACTGGCAGCTTAATTACACAATGAATATAGCCAATTCAGTGATTCCCGCGAATGTTGCTCAGGTAATTTTGTGCGCGTTGTGGTAGTTCTTACACCACGGAATTGGACAAAGCGATTCGGACGCGATTGTACAAGCTGCCTGTTCGAGGCTGTGCATACCTATGGCGGCAGCGTGCAAAGACCGAATGGCGGGCGCACACTGACGTCCCTCTCGTCTGAGTACCAGGCATTTCATCAGGACTTGGAAGAGAAACCCCACAAAGGAAGCTCAAACTTCACAAATGAAGCTGAGCACAAATGAATATATCGACAAAAGTACGAATTTATCTTTAAAAAAAAATAGTATCACAGTGGAATTTCACTCGCACATTTTCGGACCATAATTTCATTTTTTCTGTGGATTGACTGCATACACCGTCTTTTTCACGACTGTCAGTGTCTTGCGTGCTGTCGTTCGTTATGGCCGTCATGGGCTTTTGGTTGGCATAAAGATTCAGAAAAAAGGCGATTTGTAAATCTCAGTTGTTTGATAACAGATTATGCATATTCAGGTGTTTATTCCATACAAAATAGATCTTGTCATTATGCTTCCCTCAAATTATAAAGTACATTCTAGAAATCAGTGCACTTGAATAGATTGACTCTGAGGTCTGAGGTACAACGTTTCTGTAGCCGCATTTTGTTCCATGAATCCCCATTTTAATGCCCGTTTACGTAAGTAAGATATTAGCGACGAAAATAAACTTCTTGGCTGTAATAAACAAACATTATTAGTTAGCACGCATCAATTGAAGTCGCGTCTAATAAGCCTTTGCTGGTACCCGCCACCAAATCGAAAGGGCGCTGGTGAAAGTAAATCTCAATCAATACAAGCTGCAAAGGTAACAATTTATTTTAACAGGCATGTATAATACAAACCAATCTACAAATGTATTTTTTGACCTCGAGTAGAACTTGAATAACAATTATGCGCCCGGATGAAAAAAACCCCGCTACCAGCAAACCGTTCCGTTTGGATCGTAGATACGAAGTACTCGTAACTAATAACAAAATATGCCATCATTTGAATAGTTACTGTTATTCACAACTCTCAATTTCAACACGATCCCGGGCCCCAGCACGTCATCCCTGCTGGCCGTATTTCTGTCCAAGATCCGCGTCCGGCGCTTGCGGCACAGGAGCTCCCGGCAGGCTTTGCGGAAGCTGGACGTGACGAACGAGTAGATGATGGGGTTCATGCAGCTGTTGGCGAAGGGCAGCAGCAGGCACACGTTGTAAAGTTCTGGCGGGACCGTGGCGCCGGGTGCGTACCTGGAGAGCACGTTGTAGGTGGCGAAGGAGCCGTAGCAGACGACGTAGGCCAAGAAGACCACCAGCAGCGTCCGGGCCGACTTCCAGCCCTTGACCTTGCGGCGGCGCAGGTCAGCGTCGGTGGCGTTGGAACCGGTGGTGTGCTGGGGCCTGTTCACCCGTCGGATGCTGACGATGATCACGACGTAGATGACGACTGTGAGAATTGTGGGCACGTAGAATAGCACGATGTTGAGGTACACGCTCTTGAACTCGGGCCACCAAGGCCCAAAGGGCACGACCACCTTACAGGCAAAGGGAAGTTTCCCGGTGTAGGTGACAGCAACCAGTGATGTATCGTTATTATGGAACGCCTGCAAAGGAAAGAAGATGCAACTCGAGGTAAGAAAAAAAAAGCTGCCCCAAATTAGCCCACTAAGCTCCCCAAAACGACGCAAGAACGGCATGTCTCATTTTTACAAATTTTGGTCAATTTTATAATATGTTACAAAAAGAAGCTTGGAACGTGAAAGAAACACACACAGCACTGTGATATTGGACAAAAGGGGGATAGAGAGTTGGCTTTCTCCCCGGCTCTTTTGTTTCAGGGTTCAAGCCGAGGCAAGCGCAAATCAACATGCGATATGCTTGACGTCAAGAAGCAAAATTTTTACCACTTTCACACAGACAGTTTCATGGCGGCGCTATTTAAATCGACCAGTGGCCGCGCCTCGGCGTCCAGATAGTACGGAAGCGCGTAAGCGCCACTAACGAGATTTTTTTTAAGTGCTCTCTCAATACAACAGATACTCTCCCAACTGCAAAATTGTAATTCGCCTAAGCGAGATAAAATTTTGGTTGGTTCAACACTTCTGTAAGACAGCGTCCTTGTTTGTGGGAATATACGATTTTCGTGCTCTGCGCTCGTGTGGGGCTAATATAACGGAGAGGGTTCATTCAACTTATATAATAATCGAAAGTTGTAAAAGGGCTCAGAAATGGAAATAACCCAAAAACGCATTCACAGAAAGGCTGTCTCCATTGTTTTGAACCAGCGGGCACTGGGGAGTGATTGTTACCTCAAACATGAAGGGCGTGGGTATTGCAGCGAGGACAGCCAGGAACCAGATGCCCACGCATATGATCTTGGTCCGTCTGGCGGTGAACGTCAGCCGGAACCGCAGTGGGTGCACCACGGCGAAATACCTGTCGATCGCTATGGCGACCATGTTGAACACCGTCAGGTCAAATGCCACGAACCGGAAGTAACGATGCACCTTGCACTGGAGGTCGTCCCGCCAGAGACTGGGCCACGTGACCTTGAAGAATTCGGTGATGTGGAACAGAACGACCGCGAGGGCCAGCATGTCCCCTGTCATAGGATAAAGGTTGCATCGTTTGTTAAGATTTTAACAAAGACAAGCACGATATTCTTCAACCCTATACCCGTAGAGGACGCTGCAGGGATTGACAAATTTTTTCAGGTGTTCATAAATTTATTTTCGATTCTTAATTAATTGGCCTTATTTACAAGAATACCATGGATGGAAAGCAAGGTATTTTTTTTCTATCTTTGCACCTGGGAATAAAAAGGAGAGTGCTACAGGAAAAGTTCATTACAATCATTTAAGCTGATGAAGAATTTAAACTTTGTGGTTAATTGTATTTGAATGTTTTAAGCCACATTTGAAAATGATAGCAGGGCATGGAACCCTTTCTTTCCCTTTTAAAATCTATTCTGATTAATTCGTATTTGAAGAATTTTCCAAATGTTCTTGGAAAATACCGATTACCAATTCAGCAGAACTTTAGAAATCGCTGTCATAAAAACCATGGACATGCGCACACTGCATCTTTATAGACAGTGGGACGTAGATGCGACGTTATTTCGAATCTAAGAGACGTCAGAGGATTGTTAGGGAAAGGGATCCAGGGAATCAGATGAAAGAGGTACAGCGATTGTCGGTGCTGTTGTGTGTAGGGTCCGTAGGCTTTTGCCAGCCAGTTTGGGGGCCGAATCATGAATTTGGGGTGCCTGAATTTGATTTTTTGCAACATATCATTTTGACATCGAAATCTGATGGAGTGGCCATCATGCAGATTCTGTACGATTTTAATGAGTCGCCAAGACTCATATTGGCAAATTTACACTCTGCATTTCAACATAATAAAAAAATGGCAAAAGATATTCGGCGATATCTTGTAATGCATGAACATACTCGTAGCCGGTCAATGAAGGTTGACACCATGCACATTGACAACTGAAGAGAACAGCTATTTTATGACGAGTTGATATCAACGGAGTCAGTTTTCAATTAAGGTCACAAAATGGAATGGCCGGATGATATTGGAAATGTATTAAAGGCGGATCTGGCGCCATTTCTTCACCAGAATAGATAAATTTGCCTCTAAATAGTCTCGGACGTTTCACCATTTGGCCAGACGGAACTGGGATTTCCCCCCCCCCCCGAGCACGACTCGAGCCTCGTCAGCCCAGCCCTCTGCGGCACGGCCCGCGCTGCTTCGGTGAAATGGATAACTCATGCATCCACGGATTTCCTGTCGTCTCAAATTGTCTCTGCAGGATCATTAGTAGCAGCCTTTTTCAGAATTTCTCATTACTGTGGCGGTAGGCAAATTGAAAGGGAAATTGAAACAATTTTCGCGTGGGACCAATTTGCCGAAATCGTAAAGGATATTTACGTATTGTCCTCTCGCCATTTGCGTACAATAAAGCCAATGGTCACTTTTTATTCTGGAATCGTAGTGACGGTTTCACTGTTCGTTGAGGAATCGTTGATCAAGAAACTTAATTTCTAGGAAAAGAAACGCAAATTCATGTCCCGGGGTTGGTGTAAATGCTTCGCAATCGGGAATTAGGGTTGGAAATGCAGGGAAACTGACACGGTGTAACGTCGAATATATCCGACCAAATCTTTGACGGGAAAGTCGCAAAGTCGCGAAAAAAAGGGCATAAACCACCGTAGTCTGTCATGTGTATATAGATTTTGTCCCGGTGTCGAAACTATTTTGAACTGTGCCGACTACGTCAAACACGGTTTGTCTTCGGATTTGGCACTTCGGAAACCCATTTCAGAAAAAAAAATGTGCTTGACCACCATTAACACTTTCACTACTAGAATTCAGAACAATTGCGTTAAATAACCTGAATAAGGTGGGAACATTACTCCCCTTGTATATTGTTTTAAATTCTCAACATGATCAGTGGTTAATTTATGAATCAAAGTCCTCTGGCTGAAAAAAAATATTTTCCATGTGTCAAGGACATGCGCACTGGTACTGGATACATATGTACTACATGTGCTAATTTTATATTTTCGTTTTATCGACCGATAAACCACTTACCACTGGAGTGGAATAATTGCCACTGCCAAACACTGGTTTCAAGCATGTGTTTAGTGAGTCACGGACACGTTTACACGTAGCCGGATATATATTTCAGACGACCTCACAATGTGCACTTTAAGTTTATAACTTCGGACAGCAAGCGTTGAGAGCGAGTTTGTCGCCTGCCGATGTTGCGTGGGTCCTGCTGGGACCAGTTGGCCTTATTCCTGGACACTAACATTAAGGTATCCAGGCTAGGACTTTTGTTCTTAGAGTCACTTTTGGGGCAATTCTATAATTTGTATTAACGTATGAAAACTGTTTGAAATCCTTTCGGCCGGCTATGAGTATATTGAATTGCCAGACAATTGAGGGCGCTGAGGAGGCTTGACGTAAATCAGGGAATACGCTGTTTTAGTTCACATGTGTCTGTGTTCAAATTTTGAACCCCAAATTTTAAATCAAAACATTTCTGAAAAAAATTGCTCTCTGAGTTATTCCATTTACTTACAAAGCAATACACTGTCAACGTAATGGAAATTTACGACTGCAAAATTGAAACATTCAGCGGTTTCATACACTGTGTAATGTGATCAGCTTTGCCCAGGAATATGGAAAATTGGATTAGCATGAAACACAGAAATCACTACAATATACAGATCAAACTATTCCCCCAAAAAAATTGAAATATGGTTAATTGAAACATAAAGATACAGGTGCAATCTCATGGAACGGTTGTGATAAGACAACGTCAGCTTCGTGGGGGCAGTCAGCGCTAGAGATTCGCGTTTCATGCATGGTGATGCTGCACTGCACACGGGCTGCAGTTCCCAATTCCATTATCGAAAATTGAACTCAGACATATCAACCTGTTTGAAAGAAATGCACATGTGCCGTGGCACGTGGACATCTTAGTAGGCCCCACAGATCAATTTGTAGACCCGTAATTTTCCTTATGCATGGTGCCCGCTGTGCCAGCTGCCAGGATGTGCCATGTTTTATGAGGTGTACAGAACGAAAGCAACTATTCCTCCGAGGTGAATTCAATAAATGTCACGTCTTCTTGAAAGATTCGATTTGCAAGTGTATTATATAAGTCGGTCTATTCGATTACTTGATTTCGATATATTTATAAATCGAGAAAACAATCAGTAGACAGAGTAGCAAGAAAAGAGTTATCTTCTATTTTTATAAAGAAGGCAGCTGCTTTTATTTATATCTGTGTCTTTATTAACAAAGCAGGTTTTTTAATTTCCCAAGATGGATCTAGTCTTGGACAGGACGTACTTAACAGTAAGTTGCATAATGCCGGTTTTCGAAGCCGATTTTTGTACGCCACGAGAAAATAAGTGTGTTTTAAGCTGCACATGGGCAAGGGTGTGTTACTGTAACCTAGGCCTGCAGTGACGGGTGTGTACTTGCAATGACAGACTTGGGCAGATTCGTCTTGGGTCAAACTTCGCCAGCCGAGGCACAAACGTTATAGAGCTAATCACATTATGTTGAGTTGTTGTTTCCAGCACCTTAAATTTCTCAGGTGCATATATTCTGCCATTTCCCCTCAAGTTTCCCCGCTGGACTGAAATGGAATATTGCGACTCATCCATAATGGTTCCGAGTGGCCGTATGCATTTTGATAGCTTTTGCCCGCAATCTGGCCGAAGGGCCTAAAGCCATTTACGATTCCGCACTTACGCATTGGGATAAGGCAAATGCCGGCCATTCGCGTTTGAAATCTGCAATGGTATGCATGCACGTGAGAGGTTTACCTAGCTAGTCACCAGAGGCCAAAGACGGAGCGCAGTTTGGACTAACAGCCATTTCCACTTGCATAATGAAATCTGTGACATTTCAGAAACTTTACTGCCATCTTTCTTGGGTGAGGATTCTTTTCAAACAAAACAAAAAAACAGAGAGAAAACGAAATTCATTTTGCAACTTGAGACCTGGATACGCCACTGACCAAAATTCTCTTAAAAATCGAAAATTATATCTGAGAAACAAGTTTAATTTGGACAAGTTTAATTTTGAAGTGCCTTCACAATGACAGAATCATTGAAAAAATATTAGATTACGTTGACGGGCTGGCTTTGTTCGAGTCGGTGCTAATCTAGTAGAATCTTTTCATACAGTGGAAACACTTGGTGTGTCGGTCACAAATCCTCTTATCTGTCAATGGGCTATAATGTCATATAAGTCCAGCCGGAAGGGCCTTGCACCCTCGACAACTACACTCGATATTCAGTCATCAAGTTTTGCCATTTCCATTCAAGACAGGATACAAATTAACCGAGGGCGTGTGGTGGGTGATAATGTTGACCACGTGGGCCATTGTAGACCCATACCTGTCAGAGTTAAGGGAAAACATCCAATTCAAATGTAAGTTCTATATTCTGTACAATATTTCTTATAGAAATATCGGGAAAAGTGCCAAAGTGCGACTAACGAGAAGACAGTCTGCATCCCCTTGTTTTAGAAAAAGATCGAATGGATTTTATCAAATTATCCTCCATAGTAAGACTCCTGTTTACATCCTTACTCATTTTGGACAAGGAGGGTTAGATATTGACTTCAATTGACACGAAAAATCTGAGCCACAGGGCCTCATGTAGCTCTGATGTTCAGACTGTATAAAATAATGCCAACTCTTCAATGTCGATGGTGATTGTATCAACCCTGACAACGTTAACACATGCCACGAATCGTCCAAATCTTCTGATTAGGTAACAACCCCATTCATTGCAACCACCATGCACCATGGCAATCGAGCATGGTCTATTTGATCAGAGTACAACGAGCCCATTCAGTGAAGTCTTGTTCCCTCACACGGCGCTTTAAATATTCATGTCCATTGTCGGTATTTTTATACCCGATGTCCTTTTTTAAGAGAAAAAAAATTTACCTCGGAGAAGACCCGTTCAATGACACGTACTTCGACTGTTGACGTGTCTTATTTCGGGGTGGGACGGAATCGAATAAGTTAGGGGTTCTCATGAATATCCTGGCAAGCAGTACCAATACTGCAATGGGTAACAATTTGATTGTTTTTGACTTATTGACATAGTTTATTTCCCATTGTTTACATCGTCAGTTCTTAGAACCATCACCCTTCGGTGAGGTCTCTGTGTATCATGTGCTGTGTAATGTCGGCATGAGATGCACCGAGTCCATTGCAAAGGTCGAACTGTTCGAAATCATTTGAAACACTTTGTTTATGGAAGGATTTCAAGTTCTAAGAGAGAATACGAGACGCCACTTCCCAAAGAAGGAGTCAGTAGAACGGGGTCGCCCTCTCCTGGCGTTGATCAAGTTACAACCTGGATTGGAAACCGGTGTTATCTTAAAGTCCAGATTTGCGTGTACGCAAAAATCTGGACCATGAGAGTATAATGTATTTGCAAGCTCCTCTCGCACTGACGGAGAGAAGGAAAACACTTCAAATTCCAAGGAAAGTGTCAGTTTACTGTGGAGATTTGAGGTGAAAGAAAACGAGTAAGGATGTGAGTTCTAATCGGGTCAAGTCCCCTCGAGCAAACGGATTTTTTTCCCGCTGGTAATGTTAACGCGGGGACTTATTAAGACCCCCCCCCACTGAAATGGAAACTGACGTCTATCTACGTGGACGTCATCCTATTCTTTGACATATAGTTAACTATAGTTTGACTAACACCGCCAAAGCGATGGTCGGTTTAGACTGTCTAGTCGACCGTTGGTACCTGACAGTCGTCACCAACACCACGAAGTAACACAAATCTATATGTGTGCACGCTTCAACGCGTGTTTTATAAAAATGTGATATTTTCGTTTTCACGAAGAGGCACAAATGTCTTGCGTCACGCATATTCAGAAATTGACGTTCTCCTTAATTTACACAGTTACGAGTTTTAAGAGCATTTTGTTTTCAGTTTAGTCACCCATTTACGGGTAAAATAAAATCAAATTTGAGATTTAAACCTTTTTTCTATGCTCTACTGTCAAAACACACATTTGTGCTTCTTCGTGAAAACGAGATTGTTCGTTTATGCACGAGTGTACAATATGCGCATGCACACATTTATGTCACTTCGTGAAACCAAAACTGCTCTAATCACGCTTTTCACGAACTGGCACAAAAGTGGAGATGTGAGTCAGTTCGTGGTATTGGTGACGCCGTGAGCCTCAGATGTGGTTATGGTTGTAGCCAAAATGATAGCATCAGGCAAATATTCTCTTCAGGGAGCTGAGATGGTTTCAGGAATGTTCTGATGTTGTGAGCCCAATGTGCAGGGATAATGATAACGGCGTCTTAATCACCTTCAAGGTGGATATATATATAAAATGTGGCCATTATTATTGTTATTTGGGACCAAGCCCAGGGGTATTGTCTCACCACTGGTAATCAGTAGCCGGGAACCATTCACAAACAAAATAATAACGAAAATCATGTCCCCAAATTTTAGCCTGACATGATTTTTAATGTGGAAACAGGAGCGCAGAAACCTTTAAAGTCGATTATCTCCAGAAGTGATTTTGTCTGGGTCATTAATGACCTTTTCCTTGGCACGCAACGATATCTGGATTTTTCATTCTACACGGGGAGAACTGCTAACTTGATGCGACATATGGCTATAGCAATAATAATATAACAAGCACTCTAAGGCGCCATCTATCTAGCAAACTACTCCGAGGCGCTGTATCATCATTATCCCTGCACATTGGGCTCACACATCATCTGAACATTCCTGAAACCATCTCAGCTCCCTGGGGAGTATACTAGCCCGGTGCTGCCATTTCGGCGCAAATGGCTAAACTACCATATCTGCCCTCAAAGGTACCCATTTACTCCTGGGCGGAGAGGGGCACATAGGGGTAAAGTGACCTGCCCAGGATCACAACATGCTGCCATCAGCTGGATTTGAACCCCCGACCCTATGATCAGAATCTACAAACCCTAACCACTAGGCCACATATGCCTCCTATGATGACAAAGCGTTTTGTAACAACCTCCCTGTGAACGAGGGGCGAGTTTTGTGCACTGCTTTTTCCTCTGCATGGTCAGCGTGTGACAGTGTAGATTTCAATGTTGAATAGGGTGTGCACATGAAATGGTATATTTATTTGACTTGCTTTACATGTCATTGTCAGACTTCATGAAACTTAACTCGGCGCAAACAGGGGAGTTTGGAAGAGGAAACTTACCCAGGGCAAGATTGAGAATGTACAGAGCAGCATTGGAGCGTCGGTACCTCTTCCGGGAGTAAACGACCAGCACGAAGAGGTTGCCCACCAACCCTAGGACGAAGACGCTGGTCAGGAACGGGATTTCGAATTTGAACCGCTCAGGCGACCGTCGCTTCGTCGCTTCCTCCCCGTCGTCCGCTTCCCCGCCACCGGTCACCAAAGCTGTTGGTGTCGAGAATAAATCCGCGGGGATCATACTGTCCCCCATCGCTAATGACTGTTGCCGTTGTCGATTAATAAACTCGGAAACTTCAACTGCAGGACCTATAGATGTATCTGTTCTCCACCCTGTTCGTCGTATGAAGGTCTTTTTCAATGGTGCGTGTGCGGCAAGCCACGATCCATAATTATAGTCTAGTGCTCCATTTGGCCGGATGCGTTTGTCAGCGGTGCGTGCACTCTCGGCTCTCGGTATACCGGTAGTGAATATGAAAAATAAAAGCGTCAAGGAAATTTCCACACGGCTTAACAATTACAATGCCGTGTTCGCAAAACCTTGTGGTAAGGTTTACGCTGTTTAATAACACTGGTTTGAAACAGGGCAATTTGAGACGACTCTCACCACAATAGAGCGTATTATATCCAAACGGTCTATTTCTGTGATTACCCAAAGTTCGAAAAATATTTTAAACGAGAAAGAGCCAAGTTAACTCTGAAAGAGCCAGAACAGTGTTTCTGTCACGCATTGAGTTTTGGTGGTTTTGTTTTACAGTCTTGACCCACATTTTTCGGAAATCAGACCTACTATTCTTAGGCAGCTCCCATTTTCCCTAGGCAGGTCAGTGAATATTGTCCACTTCGTCCACTGTGCGCCCAATCCATGCGGGTTAATGTGTGTGGAATTCGATTTCAAATGCCCGTAACAACAAAACCAGGTGTCGGATTCAAATTACTAGTGAAGTTGATTTGTGCCGAAAATTGGGGTAAGGGTGTTTTTCACAGGGGGATGTCTTGCCATGGAAATTTGAAGGGGGGTTGACACCATAGGACACTATAATAGGGGCGATGTTCATGATATTGATATACATCTGTAATATATTACATTCGTGCAGAGTCTTAAATCAAAATGATATATTTACATGCATGGCTTTTTATTGCTTCCCCGTTTTGATACATTTTAGTCGTTGGGAAGTCGGACAAGTTCTTTGCAATCGGTTTTAATTTTTGGCTCAACGCCCCAAAAAGCAACAAGGGTGGGTAAGGACTCAAGTTATAGCTCCCCCCCCCTTCTCCAAAAATGAGGCGGGGGGGGACACATACCCCATCTATCTCCAGGATTTACACCCAGGGTAGTGAGAACATGCTTGTAAACTTTAAAAAGAAATCAGGCTGGGGAGAGCCTAGTTCAGTCAATGTAGATATGTTGTTTTTGAGGCAGGGGACTAAAGTGAACAACGTCAGGGCGATAATGACTCTTGCGTTAGTAGCCTTTTTTCTTGCGTTAGTAGCCTTTTTCAAGGAGAAATATTGGCTGCTGGCTAAGTATTCCGAGTTCAAACGGCACACTGGCTATAAGTACAGAATGGGGAGAGAAAGCGTAAACCAAAAATTTGAAGCCATCTAATTTTAAACCCAAATGCTTTCAAGTTCTTAAGCAACAGGTTACCCAAACTATGATAAGTCAATACTTCCAGCTGCCGAAAACAGACGTGGCACGTGGCTAAACTGGTTCCCGTCTTATACACAGTCACCCTTCCGTAGAGTTAGGGGTAATTATATAATATCAAAACCTGTACGCATGCGTGTTACTCGGAGGATCACCTTTCGTGACGTGGACGTCGTTGAAGCTACTTGGAGTATTGGCGGCTTTTTTTACCGTGCCGTAAGTTTGTGGACAAAACACTAAGCTATGGAGGACTAGCTATGATCTTTGATATTTTGTCGAAAATATTCAATAATTTCTAGTGCACCACATTAAATTATTGCCCAAGGGTTACGGTATCGTGACTAATACGAACAAACTCTTGCAGATGGTGTTCATGTCCATGTAAGCACCGAGGAAAGCTCGTGAATAATATATGGCTCAACATTTTCACAGTTCTCTGAACTGAATATAGGTTATGTTCATTTACATGTATAAGGCCCACTGACGATTTAGCACGTAGCAAACCTGACAGCATTGTATTATTGAAGTTTCTATTCCAGTTCTTAGCTCATTCTTTGTAAACATTTTTTTATTGAAAACTATGTTGTGAGCTTGCTTTGTATTAATTTTGAATTGCCTAATCGAGCTAAAAAAAAGCTGTTCATGAACTGCGAGAACAAGCTGCCGAAACGCATGATTGCCACATGAGGGCGCCATCACGGAAGTCTAATTGTTGTCAGTCTGATCAATCGCGCGCTACTATACCCATGGTGCAATCGCATGACAGCTTACCGCGGTATCAGCAGTGGCCTAGCCTGTACCGTACTTAGAAATCTAGTATTTCTACCTCCATGGTCACGATGGTACATGTACATGTATGTAATTCGCAGAAGAAATGAATTTCGCAACCTTCACGTCCAATTAATTAAAAAGAGATGGTGCGTTTTCTCCACAGGGAAATCACCTGACGTTAGTCATGGGTAGTGGGTTGCGAAATCAGTTCGTCGACATGGTCGATGGATGTTGAAGTTCAACTTGGAAGTTTACATGTCCCGACATGTCACAAAGAAAGGAAAGAACAACACATGACGAAATTTGAAACGGTAGGGCTAAACCTGTAAACTGTTTTATTGTGGCAACACCGGCTGACATGGCTGAGCGGCGTGGTCATGTCGCATAACGTTACTGGTCATAATCTTCCATGATAAGATGTCCGTGGATGAACTTCCTTGAAACTTTTCGTGGAATATTTTGAACACTACTCCAGATTTCGATTAGCAGGGTCTATGAATTGTGGTGGGTGTGTGCAAGGCCCAAGTTGACTATACTTTGACGTCGCATTGCCTTATTTCAAGATCAACAACTGCCTGGGCTACTGAGTATGTTAAGTAGGCTACCATTCAACTCAAAACATTTTTATGTTCATCAGTTCAGGTGGAATTTCTGAAATTTCATTAGGAGAATGTTTTGCTCATAGAGTTTTTTCACTGACTATCATATGGACCAACTGACCAAGTCATGTCTGCTAAGGTGACTAAAAAAAGCAGATGGTTGGAAAGAGAAAAAGTTGGCGTACTGGAGCATGCCCACCTGAGACATCAGCGTGCACCCAGGAAAGTTGGCCTCGTCTCGTTGCAGTCACTGCCCAATGAGCTCCTCACCCACATCCTGTCGTTTGTGCCATGGAGATGGCTGCCAAATTGTGCCCTGGTCTGCAAGGCGTGGAAGGGCGTGTTTTCCGGTAAGACGTTCTGGCATGACAAGTGTCACAACTGTCTCAGGATTCGGCGATTTGTCGACGGTTTCATGGCACCGTACGTCCCCAGGGACTGGAAGAAATTCTACTTTGAGCGGCCGTGTACCCGGAATCTCATCAAAAACCCAAGTGGGAAAGGTTGGAATTGGTGTTTTGAAATCAAATCTTATACTGAACCGTAGGATTTTTCACTTTCTGGGCACAGTTCATGCCTCTGGAGAAAACGTTTTTAAGGAAATATTAATTATTATTAAGGTCCCAAAGTGAAGTACATCTGAGTTCTACCTTGTGAATTTGAATTGGCAATAGCTCTGTAAATGTAGCACCAGATAGTGATTTGTCATAGACGCAGTCCTCAAACCACTCAGTGTGTATGTTCGGACTAGCCCCAGAAGAGTGCCAGTCTACTGGACTCTCTCTTTATCCTTAGGCTTACGCCCAAACTAGAAAAAAGTGGGGACTTCCGACTTTGTTAAACAGTTGTGTATGAGCCCCATGTTTCTCACATGGCATCACTCACTCAAGCTGGTCATTAATTCATTGTTTTGGCAATTCCCTGACCATTTTGGTTCATGAAATTCTTGTCTCTGTTCTGTTGTCGGAACACTGCCATTCTTTACTACACGGACTCACATTACCATAGTTAATTGCGCTTGATGATCTTAGTAAGTGTTGCCTAGCGGCGCCTACAGGTACATTACTTATTGAATTCAAAGTTGACATTACTGCAATGCCTGCGCACTGACTTGTTTTTGGCGATTAAAGACGGTGTTGTTAATCAGTGTTGTCAACTTAATTTTTGACAAATGACACTTTGCGATGGCGGGATGCCGCGTTTGTTAATGTTTGACACCCACTATAGGCCATGTGACTTAGTGGGCACAATTGGTCTGTTGAATTGGCAACTTTTCATCTTTTTTTTTGGCCTTATCAGATGGGCTGTCCAGTGGCTGGATCTACCCTACTAGGAGCGATAAGTGGCAGGTAGAGATGGGAGACTCCAGCACTGCTACAAAGCCTGACCGCCTCCTAGCGGTCAGCGACGGCAGCCCCCATCACTTTGTCCCTTGCGAGGGCTCCTGCTTGCGCTACCAGGTCATCGATTTGCTGGCCGAGGGCTTCACCCCAGCCATACTGGACGGGGATCAGCCTGATGTCGTCATCTCAGAATGGTAATCTCCCACCTTCCCCCCCCCCCCACCACGTTGCACCTGTGCCCCTCTTCTGTTCCAGCGATTGGTCGTACGGTGGCTTTAGAATTATGTCAAAGAAATAGCGCTGTTTGACGATGTTATAGTCAAAGTTATCACAAGACCATCCACAAAAACCATGCACAAGACCAGAGCAGAGAGGAGTGCCAACTTCAGACTTTGGGACCCAAAATGGCTGCTTATTATGTGTACAAAACAGCTTGCAGCTACTGTGCTTGTTGTTCATGTGAACCGACCCATAATCCACCATTTTGTTGCCAACAACTGAGACACTTGCGTCGTGACCCTCCCTTTCGCAGTTCTGCTCAAGACCATTCGCACGACCAGTCACAAGTAACAGGTGGACCAATGACGAAAGAATCCTTTTTGTCGCTGTTCATTTGAAAAGCTTTGGACTTGAATTCGGACTGGAGATCTGGTGTTGGTCTTCTGATAGCCTTGTTGGGGTCTTGTAATGGTCTTGAGTACCACACTGTCAGTCAAAACACACTAGCCCGGTCCAGTTTCATTTTGTCGGTATCAGCTTTTGATTAGGCGGGTGCCAAGGTCACATGAAAGCACTCTCCTGGTTCACATGTCATCAGCAAAGCAACGTGGGTAAAAACGTGAACAGGATCTCACTTTTGGAACATTTACCTGACCAACTTTTGAAAATTTTGTCCGACCTTGTCTGCATTTGAACTTATAAAGTTCAAATTCCCTAATTTTGAAATACATATGATGCCTCAAAGCATGTTGATTTTTGTCCCACCTAATAGAGGGACACTGTATAGGCCCATTGAACGCCAATCAGCATTCAGCGGACAAATGGCAATATTGTGGTCTATTCGTGACCTCAAGGGATGTTATTACTGCAGTTCCACAGCACTCATGCAAGGGTCCTTAACCTTAGAATGCGTGTGCACTTGAGCAAGTCCCGACACCATATGAGTTGAGGAGGGGTGACAGATGGCTTATAAAATAAAAAATGGGGGGGGGACCTGTTAGTAACGGGTATCCTGCACGGTGTCCTGTCCTCTGCCTAGGTACACATCTCCGCCCGACTTCTTCACCACGTTCAACTTCAAGGTGGAACTACTCAAGCAAGAGGAGTCCGCTGCCGTAGACAATGTCATCGAAAGTTTCAGATACCGTCCCATGAATGGACCAAATGGCACACCGAATGAGTGGCAGGAGGCAAGTGCTTGTGTTTCTCTTTCCGCAGTTAGTGGGAAATTGCACCGGATGTTTTAGCCTGTTTAACCTAGAACGATCCCCAACCGGACAGACTCTGACAGCAGAGCCTGTTGGAGTCGGAAAGGACGAGTACTGTACTTGTAAACCGACTGTGTTATATGTGGGATCAGGCACACCACAAATAAACAGAGTCCAACTGGTCTCATGCAATGCACAGTTTACTGTGGTGTTGGGATTTGCAAGGGTGAAGAAGGTTTCTAGCAATGGCGGCGCATCCCAGCTAAACCTTTCTCCCAATTCCACATCGTTTGCCACCCTTCCAAAAAACCTGCTGTGCCCTTGTCGACACAGAATTGGATGATCTACTGCAAAATGCCCTCTTGTGATATAGGATCCCGTACTTCATTATCATAGAGCCAAGACTAGATTATCCAATCGGCACAACTTTAATTTTTGCCCTGCCCGACGTGTATTTTAAACACTGTATGCTCAGTGTATACCCCCTTGAAGTAGTTGTTTGCGGTACCCGCTGCTACATCTGATTCAAACCAGCCAGCCGACACCAGCAAGCTTGGTGGTTGAGTGGTTAAGACATCTGCACTAGTAAGCAGGAGGTCCTGGGTTCGAGTCCCACCCGAGTACGCTTGTGGTTTTTTCACAAGCCCTCAGGGGCATACACTGAGCAAACAGTGTTAAAATACACGTCAGGCAGGGCAAAACTCCAAAATTAATTTACATCTCCCTGGCGCAAATCCATCCTTGAAATAGGCACAACTTTGTTTAATCTCGTCGTCGTCTGGGACCAACTTCATAGTGCAGATTAAGCCCAAAAAAATTGCGTCTGGTATTAAGCAGAGCCTGTGGCTCCAGAACGTCTTGTGAATGTTAGCATGGACATTTGGTGCAACCCAAAGTAGTGCTAGCCAATGAGAGTCGTCTTCAGAAATATTGATGTCATTTCAAATTCAAGCAGACCTCTGTTGAACGCTCTTGACTTGTCGCTAAAAGTCAAGACGACCATTGAGCTATGCTACAGCTGATCATGTCAGCCGTCCAGGTCATGATGGCCGCCGCGAAAAATGAGCGATTATTGAGACGGGGGGAAATGTGCTTTGGTTTAGTTTTGTTTAGACCTTACTCTACAGTTGTCTGGCATAAATGTTGATGTGATCCCACCCAACCACACATTTACACAGAGGCTTAGCCTAACCACTGCACCGAATGGCATCTATGGCTGCTCGGTGACTGCACCAGAGGCCCATATCATGTATAGCCGCTGACTCGTCAAAATTAGCAAGACAAAAGTCTGTGCTCTTGCATGTAAATCAGTAGATTTGCATAGGAATGATCTATGCTCGTCTGCAAGCGAGTGCCGAATAGAAAGACTACCCTTGTTTCTCCTCGCCCACTGAAGCTAAAAACCACTGCAATAATCATGATTTTTTTTCTCAGTTTTCATTTGTGACCCGCTCTACAAAAAGGGTAATAAGACGCGCAATAACAAAACATGTTCTGAGCTGTTCTATTTGGAGAGGGCAAAATTTCTTCAAAAACGTGATTTGTTTTTTTTCCTTTTTTATTTCCTATAACATTTATATTTTCAGAATGTGTGACTACAACCATGGATACTGATGAATAAAGATGAAAAATGGACCATTCAGTAAGAAATCCTGCATAAGCATTGTGTTTCCAAGTGCTACGTTTTCTGAGCGTTTTCTCAAAAAGTGCTTTTATTAAATCTGAAAATGTGGATATACAAATGTCTGTATATCTCCAGAATGCAACGCACTACAGGGATCATTTATATATCAAAATGTAGCTTTTGATGTACACAATCCAGCCATATCAAAAACTCCTAACCTGAATCTGGCGACTTATTACCCATTTTACTAGAGCCGGTCACATTTTTCATCTGCATGGGTGTGTTTTTCTTTTAAATGGAAATTTATTTCTTACTTGAATTGGTTAGGTAATGACCAGATTTTACAAGTATGGGCCAGGACTGCGGTTCATTCGCTTCTCGGAGCAGACCACGAACAGCAGCACCCCATCGGGAACCAAAATAGCGGGATGCGTCATCAAACTGGAATTCCGCAATCGGGTTTGCGAATGGGATGTGTAGAAAAGGACCTAGAAAGAGGCCGCGGTTCATCCTGTTCTCTTGGAAAAGAGGGAGCTGAAGAATTTCTCCCGAAGAGAGACAGGAGAAAGCCTCTTGCATTTTTCTTCTGAATTACTCAGAGTGAGGTTGAATGCAACCCTTTTTTCACAGAATGTCTCTCAGTGTAGCTGAACTCTTCAAATAAACATCCTGTCCCTTACAATAATGGGAAACCTTTAGGTTCTAGATCAACTTCTTAAAGGGTTCCATTTGGTTCTAGATCAACTTCTTAAAGGTAGCTGCAGTGGAACTTTTTAGTACAAACCTCCAAGATGCACCTTTGTGTCTCAGTTAACCTCATTTTCGACTTTTGTTCTCTTTTTCAAAGGGTATTTTGCTGGCTTTTTGGTTTTATGCAAATGAGAATTTCCATATTCATGAGCTGTAACTGTAATGGACGTGTTTGTTTTACATGGGTCCAGATCATGATCAGTGATCCATCATTGGTTCACTGACACCATAACCCGCATAAAGGATGGTGGGAACCACTAATCAAGATTCAGATCCATGGGAAACAAACTGGCCTGATGTCATCCTTGTGAGCAGACCTCAATATTGCATTGGATTTTGCACGAAAACTCCCACTTTTTGGGGGGGGGGATGTTGCTGGCTCAAGTTTGTTTATTTCCTTGGTAATTCATTGTTGCATAAATATAGCAATAAGTAAGAGATTAACCCTTTCTCAGAAACATTTTCAGTGAGGAAATTCTAGGTTCAACATTTGCAAAGAGAAATCCACATGTATGCACTGAGCCCTGCCTCATCAGATGACATCATAGAAATAGTATCCTCAGTCGTCCAGGAAAGCATCCAAAAGTTAGAATCTTTCTTCAAAGTGCAATTGAAAGCATATCTAAGCCCAATGGAGATGTCAAATAGTTTTAAGAGTATAAACATCTCAAAATATTGCCTCTAAAAAGTATTGCAGCTACTTTCTCCGTGCTCCCCACAAAATCAATTTAACCCCCCCCCCTTAAAAAAAATCAAAGCCCCGGGATTCTGGTATTTGTTGACAGAAGTGCTGTTAGATAGGACAGCTCACTTGTTTAAAGTCAAGGTTTGAATAATTTAAGTTGTCATTTGTTGAGTAGAGGAACTTGCTGATATCAATGCAACAAATAAAATGTTTATAAATTAAAAAATTATCAACTCTATATTAATATCTGTAGAAGAGAGAAGTGTTTTTTTTTCATAATGTTTATACCAGTCTTGGAATAGGCATTCATTACATGTATATCATTTTTGGCCAACTGGATGCTGATATTGCCTACTTTGTAAATGTTGTCTTACCACTTCAAAATCTGCTGCGTAGTATTTCTGTGTAATGTCTATTTTGCAAAATACATGTACATGTACAAACATAGGCTTTACTGACTATGTCTTGCTGAATGTTTCTTTATTTTTCTGTCTTGATCAAAGACTTAAAGGTATGTCTGAAAACAGATCTCGGGGGGAGGCACCCGACGTGCCCCGTCCATCCCTTTTATGTTTCTCCCCGTTTGCCCTTTGCCCCTATTTGTTTAATTTGACTGAATGTGTGCCTTTGATCTTGTTAACCCCCACCTCAACCCCCAACGCCCACCTCAACCCCCACCCCAAGGCCTACCCTCCATTTCACCTGTCAAATAACTTTGGACGATTACAGCATGGCATGGGGCGAGTTCGATCCGAGACAAGTAGTCAACCAATGGCCAATTTTGACTGGTAAGCTATGCATTAAATATATATTGGGCGTGGGGGAAAATCGACCAGTGGTTAACAAATTGCCGTAGATCGAAGTGCTGGGTAGCAAATGGCCTCGGTTGCCGAGTCCGGTGTCGCTAAAACTGTCACGCAGGATCGCCAGGTTTTTTCGAGGGGGAGGAGACTTTTTCCAAGGGGCGAAGGGGGTAATTTTCAGTGGGGGTGGCCCGAAGCACTAATTGGCTAAGAACTCCTAAACAGTCCACATATCCTATTGGGAGGGGCCAATTCTGAGGTTTTTCTAGAAAATTTGTGGTTTTCAACCCTTTTATTTCTCTTGCTTCCCTTTTTTTACCCCCATTTTCATTGTTTCCCCATTCTTTCCCAAGGGGTTATTCGTAAAGTTTCTCCTTTGTTACCATCACCCCACCTCGTGACCTCATGGTGAAAAACTTTACAACTCCGTCGATGTTAAGAGTTAACAGAATGCCAGAATGTATGATGTAGTAGGGCCCATTTGCACACTGCGTTCCCGATTATTGACGCTCATCGTGTGGTAGTTTGGACGCCAGTGACCCGCGGAGTCAGTTTCCAACTTCTAGGTTGTCTTAGATACCACGCTTGCATATTAAAAAGCTGGCATCCCACGTCAGTGCTCGTCGACCGGCGGTCAGTCCTAAACTGCAGGGCCCTTGGAGGTAGGAAAAGGAGCGCATCATACATGTAGGGACCCCGTTTTACGCGGCTCTAGGTTACCATTTTCAACGGACGCTCTTTGACAAAAGTAGAAATTTTTTTGTCTTGAAAATAACTGCATTACAGGTGAACAGAGTTAATGGGTCGACTGATGCTGTTATTCAACTTACTTTAAATATGGTTAATAAACATTATTTCATTATTTGGCAGTCTTGTGTTTTAGTGATTTTGCAAGGGATAAGCTTTGTTGTCTCGATACATATTCAAGGTTGCATTCCACCAAATGGTTGTATTTCTGCGCGCGAGCTCATTAGTACTCATAGATTCCACGGGATTTCTACAATAAGACAGACCATAATCAGGAAGGATCATATAAATATTTCTATAAATCCCGAATTTGGAACTGATAGTTTCCACTGAGTTCGGGGTAAGTTCACAAAAGCCCCAAATTGCGGGGCCTATTTTAGATGGAGGCGGGCGGCGACATTCAGAAATGAGCGCTTAGTTTTACTGCTATTTCGGGGGTATCTTCCTTGAAAGGCGAATAAAAAAATCGTACCGTGGCTAACCCCCCTGATATTGAAACGAAAAGTGATCTTCTGGCCATAATCTTGAATTTCCAACAGGCGGCGCTATTTCGGTCCGATTTTGCACTATTTCCTATGGGCGCGTATTTGGTGTTGTGCAACCTGTAGGTCGCGCCTCCAATGTGCAAACGTTAAACAAGCGCGGACCCGCGTAAGCTAGGGATCTAGGCCGGTCATTGACGTCGGGCGGGTTTAGCGGGAAGCAAAAGTGACAAAGCTGTCAAGCTAGCTTCAAGGAAGACCCCAAAAGCTTACGCGGGCAGTACCACTATGGCACTTGAACCCGACGAATCTGTCAAGATCACCATGGACGTTATTCCCCACGAAGTCCTGACGGCAGTTCTGTCGTTTGTGCCGCCAAACTGGCTGTTAAACTGCGCCCTGGTTTGCCGCGCGTGGAGGGACGTGGTGCAAAGCCAGGGGCTGTGGCGGAAGATGTGCCAGAGGACCGGGCGATTTATTGAGAAATATATGGCACCGCATTACCCAGAAGATTGGAGGGAATTCTACTTCAAGTGTCCCTACTCGAGAAACCTCATCAAGAACCCAAGTGGGAAAGGTTTGTGTCTTCACCTTTTGCAAAGGAACACGCCCAATATCTGAATACGTCTGCCCTCTATGCCGTCTGACCCTTGACCCTGTATTTTCGAGCCATCTTCATGGTCTTTACATTAACATTTTAATAATGACTTTAACTGGAGGAAAAACCTTCCTCCTTATTAGTAATAATATTGACTGCTGGAGCATTCTATTTTCCCTTTGCCTTGGGAAAATAGAATGTTCCATGGATCACCGAGGGAGGCTACAAATTGCACAGGTAGTTTTACTGTACCAAGATAAAGCTGTCAGTATTTGTTTTATAACAGCTCCCCACAGATTCTGCAGAATTTAAGCTTAAAAATCAATAATGAAACTCCAAACTGGAGTTTACATTCATCAAATTGAAATTAAGAATTCCGAGCAGAACAGCAACATTTGAATACGTTCATTAACCAATGTTGTTCGCTATGAGCTGAAATACACACCTATGCTTTCGTTGCTATAGTTCTTTGGTTGCTACAGGTATAGTTATTTTTCAGAATGAGGCTGCATGGTTTTGAAGCGGGGATACACGTATAAATATAGGAAAATGGGAGGTGTCACATGACACACTTTCGGCCAAAGATACAGAATCTGTGGGTGAGGTGTTATGATAATTGTTAGCATGACCTTACGAATCGTTTGGTCATGATTGGGCAATAGCTAAGTGTTACTACTAGGCTAGGGGAAAGAGCAGTGATTTCCCTTAAAATGTTAAAAGAACCATCAGAAAGTTCCAACTTTAGCATAGAAAATTAGGAAGCATTTACCACTTAGGTTTTTTCAGACAAGTCTCATAGGCGGGTAGGTTTGTGCACAGTTGCATCAAGTGTTGTCTGTATGTGGGACTCGTAGTAGGTTCGGAGCAGGACTGGCTTAATGCTTTTGGAAAACTATTGGCCAACACAAATATCATAGTAGGCTATTTTACTTACAAAACATTTAAGTTTTAATGACTTGTGCACAGGGTGTTAACAGGTTAAGCGCAGTCGGGGGTCTTTAAATAGCCAAATTTTGCACCATATCTTGAATTTCTCCGCCTCCTGTTCTCATTCCTCTCTCGGCGTTGTTCCTGTACTTACTCTCTTTGTGCCGGTTCACTTTCTGTTCCTCATTTGTCAAGTTGTCCATGTTGTGGGGTGAATTCTAACCTTCCAGATCAAGGGCATCCTTACATGAAAATCACTGTTATTTTCCCTCATCTCTCAGAAAGCCATAGTATGGGAAAGAATTTCATATCGGACACCACTCATTTTTCCCTATGGTGACCTGTTTTAGCCATCTCAAAGCAATGAGCTCAATTGCAGAAATTCAGCAGAATAACCCGCCACCCCGCACGATCAACCTCATAGCCAGGTACATGTTATGTAGAGGTCAAAGTGCCACACTTCCAAAGGGATTTTCACCTTGTACCCATGTAGCCAGTCATTCCAGTGGTCTTTTTTTTAGAGTGGCCAGGGCCTTCTGCAATTACTCCCAATAAAATGTCCAAAGAAGTCAAATTTATAGCACTTCAAATATTAAGGTGTTCACCTAGAAACAGCATTTTTCCGACCAGTCTCATACATGTAGGGTTTGTGCACAGGGTATCAAGCAGCGTCTGGATATGGAATTCTTTCCATAAGATGTCCTGAAAAGACACAGTTAATGGTGAAAAAATTGAAACAGTTACTAAGAAAACACTTTTTTTCAGACCAGGGTGTCACCTGTCAACTGATCCGGGACAAAAAATTAAAAATGTCGTCGGTGTGGCCTCCTTCCCATGGGAGTGTTGAGTTGCACTGCATTTTTATTTCAAATTCTTGAAACTGCACCAGTGTGCACCATCAATCAACGTTATTTTCAAGCTTTTTTTTTGCTTCTATAGCGCTATTTGTTGCCTTTTGGGTTTATAATATGAGTGACAATTTCCATATTCATGTGCAATCTGATGTCATTCCCGGATGAAAGCCTCAGCGTTAGATTGGTTTGTGCACAAATCAAAAAGGCCAAAATTTTGGCAAGTTGCCAATTTCCTTTTCTTTGGTGATACCATGTTGTTTGAGTGTATGGCAATAAGCCAATGAGAAACCCTTTCTCAGAAACGTTTTCAATGAGCCAATTTTGGGTCCCCTGCGAAGGTTGCCCCATCATTTTTATACTTTGGGAAGAGGCTAAAGCCCCATGGACAAAGTTTGTCTAAGAGAATGTTAATGTCAGGACCCTCTTAACATCTGACTTTACCTCTTGCTCACACTTTGTGCAACACTCAACAGACGGCCTGGAAGCCGGCTGGATCATCACGTCCAATGGGGGACACGGTTGGCTTGTGGAAACTAGTTCGGGAGGCTCTGGTGTCAAGCCCGAGCGGCTACTAGCCATCAGTGAGGGTTTCCCACACCACTTTGTCACATCTTATGAGTGGTGCGTACGCCATCAGCTCATCGACCTGGTGGCAGAGGGCTGTTCGGAGGCCTTACTCGATGAAGCCCAGCCCGACGTATGGGTCTTGGAATGGTGAGATTAAGAGGAGCCCAGGTGGTTTGATTTTTTCTTGGGTGCACTTTTATGCAACCTGGTTCCTTTCATTAATGTGTGGAAGGTATTTGATATTCTTGTGTAGTTACACATGTTTATGAGTTGTGACATGAAAAGTGTAAAATTGTCCACGCTTTCTAGGACAACTGAGGGCACTGTTGCTTTGATAGGGAAGACAGTTCTCACTTCATGATAGTTTTCTATACAAACTGTAAACCCAGTATTTGCTCATGTGAAAAAATTTCTTAATAAAAGGTTGCTCATTGGCTAAGGTCGTGTATCTAAGCAACACTAAATCACTCAAAACAGAAAAGGAGATTTAGAACATTGGCAGTGTCCCAAATGTTTGTGCACATATCAATGTAATGTCAGTTTCTCCCTGTGATGATGTCAAAGTTTTGCTCATGAATATAGAAATTGAGAAAAAGACACCAAAATACATATACCTTGAAAAAAGACAAAGCATAAACTGAAAAAACATCATAATTGAAAACAAAGGTTTCCTTTGAAACAAAGGTTTTCTTCGAACGTCTTTTTCAAGGATATTCTTGAAACAGCTTCACAGGCCCCATTAAACTTGGTGTCCGTCACCATTAATACATGTAGGTGGGGACTTTAGTATTTCTGAGACAAACATCTGCACATTCGATAAAACATTAGGGATGCTAGTGCTATTTAGATTCAAGGGTTTTTTGTAAAAATACAGGTAGGTGTAATTTTGAGAGGTGATGGATTGATTATCCTGTGAAGCATGAAGTACCCTACATTGTACATTATTTGTTTCATGCAAATCCTGTATAAATCTTTGTATGGCAGAAGATGGAACAATGTTTTGTTTTTATCAGTACTACATCACCCATAATTTTGTGTTTGCGTGAGGAGTGGCACATTATTCAATGCGCCGTCTTCATGTGAAAAGTCACGGTTGTGTCTACCATGCGTGCAGTACAACATCTCTGTATCAAATATTTAAACGTGTGAAAGATGACCCACCAATCGGGCAATGGGGATTTACGTGGCTGCTGCATAAAGGGGAATATTTCAGAAATTTGCGGCAAATGCATCTACATGTACGTAGAATTTCAGCCGGTTTTGGGCTCGGACAGATTGTGGCAGTGTTGCCCTTCTTATTTTCGTGGTCCAGGTTTGCTGCACGCTCTGACTGCGGTAACGTGTATCAGTTGACGGTAGAGCTGCTGAGGGACAGCAGCGGAGACCCGGACAGCGTCATTGACAAGTTCACGTTTGGCCCGCAGTATGCTTCTGATTGGCGGGCCCCGATAGACTGGAATGAGGTAAATGCTTAATAAGATGACTGGTGGCAAGTCTATTGAATGTGTTCCCCGCCCCCTCGGTGGGATAGGGAATAAATGATGGCAGCTACCCTCTCTAAGAAACTCTTGGAAGAAGAGGTGAATACCACTAAATATGTGTCTATTCCTGCTCGTGAGCTCATTGATTTTTTTTATCGCACAAGTTAGTGACAATGAAATCAAGTATTTGGGACTTGTGGCTTCCAAGGGAGTCTCATTCACAAAAACCCTCCCAATTTGTAGGCTGAGTCTGGCCCGGCGATTGGCTGATGGGGGGAGTATTAAGAGGAGAGGGGGATAATAAAGTTGAGATGGCTAAGAGATTTGTGCAAATGAAACAAAACTTGCCCACTATCTTGAATTTCCAGTTAAACACAGGCAGTTGACAAACCTGTGTCTGAGTGTCACCAGGCGGTGCTGTTTCTGTCCAATTTTGTGGGTTTTTTTTCTGCGAGCACCTATTTAGTGTAGTGCAGCCTTTGTTCCTTTCCCCCCCCCCGAATGGATCCAGCCTGGAAAAGACAGAGACTGGAGTTGTTGAAATTATGTAAATTGGAAATCAACAAGCACTTTCATTGGTTTCACTCCGTGGCATATGTAAGGTGAAATATCAAGGCAAGGAGGGCAGACGGGCTGTATAGATTTTTTTTCAGTGGGCACCGGTGTTGGATGAACTCCGGCTTGTATGTAGGTCGTGTACATTTCAAAGTTTCAAGGGGGGGCACTAGAGGGACAATAGGGGGGGGTGATTGGGGGCATGGAGGTCCTTTGCCAACTTCCCTCTTTGAGGCAAGCCCATCCACTGGTTTCACTTCCCAGTGTCTGTGAGGTCACGGTGATAGCGTTGGCCCAGAATGTTCCGTCTGCTGCATGTAGAAAATAAATGAGCCAAAACAAACTTCTCCAAGCTCATGTTGGCCTGTGGCGTGTTCCAGAACCCTGCTTTGTCTCTTACCATGCGGTCACAGGCCTCTTTGAACTCCATCACAACTTTACAGAATGGCTCTAAGCTGTGCTTTCGTGTTGGACAAGTTGATAGCTCTGAGCATAATCTGTAGGAATGTTGACTGCCTGTGACCATTATGTAAAGAGGGATCTAAAGGAAGTAAACCTATGTTTGTGTTGAGCCATTTTTAACGTTTTGCTTAAGACTGGCTCAGGAGAATGTGTGCTGATATCATGTCCTGAGCCAGAGGTGTACGTGGGACGTTATCAGTGTCAGCACAGCACATATGTGTAACTATAATGTATTCCTTTTCATGAATAGCCTTTGAGTAAGGAAATCTAAACAAGCTTTGAGAAATTATAAGTTTACAATTTTGTGTCTTTTCTTTTTTCAAACAGCCCTCGAGCCGTGTTATGATCTTTGCCTCTGCGAGGCCATGGGCTTTATCAATTGTTCAAGACTGGCCTCCTGATTGGCTCTCGACCATTAGGAATGGCTTAACTGTCTTTGGTATTTGTAAATCATACATAACTTCCCATTTGTGTCAACTTTTATTTTTGTGGCTGTCTCTCGTGTTTTCTAACTTTTGTAGGCGAGCCACGTGTTCTCAAGCTACGGACCAGGATTGCGCTACATCCGCTTCGAGGACAGGAGCAAAGATACACGATTTTGGGCGGGGCACTATGGATCCAAGATAGCGGGGTCTTTTGTCAGGCTGCAGTTCCGGGGGAAGTAACGAGGAAGACCGCTAGTGGACAGTGGTTGTCATGGCAAAGTACAGAGGTTAATGGGTAAGAGAAATCTTTAGTGTCATTACAGGTTCAAAGCCAAGGATGGTCAAAAAAGGTGTGGAGAGGGGCAGAAATTAAATGAAAAAAATGAGTCGCAGATTTAATGGCAACCAAGAATGCAAAATACTACTTTTCTATAACACAAGCTGTATACATCACTGAAATTGTGCCTTTGCGTGCAGGTGTTAAGTTCTTAAATATCAGCAAATCTCCCTCGTCAATTTCATGCCCCCCCCCCAAAAAATGTGGAGGAGATCTGATCCTTGTGTACTCCATATGAGACAGAAATCACTTGGTCTGAGTCTCTCACATGAGGTATGAACAATGTGAGTTTTCATGGTAAGTAATGTAACTGGCTGATATAAAGTATATAAAGTAAACAAATGAAAATGTGATCACTAGATCTAGATTTATACATGTAGGTACATATTATAAATACATGAATTAATTCTAGATTAATATTCACAAAAGATATTATTATTTCTTTCATGTTTACCAGTATTGGTGTTCTTGCCGACTAAATACTGCAGTTGTATGTTTTATCACAGTGTTTATTGCCTATCTTGAAATAGGCTATTTTTACAAACGTATTGTTACTACATGTTTGTCAAAATCTGCTGCCCATAAAAAAAATTTCTATTTTACAAAATGTAAGCTATGCTGGTTATATTTTGCCAAATGGTTATTCCACTTGACCACCCCTCAGAACGGTACCGGAGGGGGGTGTTGCTCATTCCAACTGCAGATAACTTTGCAACACAGTTTTAACATCTCCTGTGATGCCGATCGAAATGATCTGTTCTGGCAAGTGGTTCCATTCTCTTGCCATCATGGGGAAAAGGAATAAAGATGGGATTGTGATATTGATTTGGATCTGGATGAATACTCTTGATAAGGGTTTCCCCTGACTATTCAACTTTGAGAGGGCCCACCTCACTGATTTGAGTAACCACTTCACTGATTTGAGTAACCACCTCAAGGCTTTTTTTGTTGAATATTACCACCTCACACTAACTATAGACAGATAGAAGGAAAAAGAACTTAGATATTTTGAAATGGATCCGATTCAAATTGTTCAGAATGGTAAAGAAGGGCACTGAATATACATGTAAGATTGATTGATTTATTTTAGAGGGGAAATTTTGAGTAAATGCGCTATTAGACCATGTAGAATTAATTTTAGGCCTTTTGTAAATACTCCCTTTTGTTTTAGGCACTTAAATTTGGCAAAATGTATTTGTACCTCACACAGAATCAGTACCCAGGGGAAGCCATGCTCTTGATCAGTGACTTACACGTACATGTGAGGTAGCCTGGTATGGTTTGCCTCAGGGTGGTAGATTGGGGGTAGGACACAGCTGACGTGCCTCCTCCCTGTTTCTTCTTTTGCTCCCAAAAGATTTGTAGCTATTTAATAAACCTTAACCCCTAACAGTCCTTAATCCTTCGCCAGTTGAAAGAGGACTGCCAAGGTTATCCGGTTCAAAAAGTGTAGTGTCACTTCAGTTTAAAGCACACCCATTGCATACACAGTCACGTGGAACTGTAGAACCTGAAGTCAATGCGCAACTTCAGTGTTCATCCAATCAGTGGAGCGTCTGTCTGTAAGACGATGTCATGGACGAACTAGATACTGTACTGAAGTGAATACGTCACACACACAGTTATGTACGCATGTCTCCGGTTGACTTGGTCACAGAGGCGGACGCGCCACAATTTGCAGGCTCCCATTGGACGATCAAACGGCAATCAATGCATGTAACTCTATGTGCAGTGCATGTGCAGTGGCATGGTTTAAACTGGTGACGTCACACTTACGAACCAGATAAGCATTAGCGCGAGAACCAGCACGTGAACCAATGCGCGTGCATACTCCATTCGTTTGCACTGCACATCCTGGTTCAAACTGACGTCATACGTCTGTAGGCCTACTCTATCCACAGCCATTTTCTCTTGCAACATGCCCTGCTCGTATAATCTGGTTAACCTTTCTGCACCCCACCCCTCATTCATTGCAGGTCACTGTAGTCAGCAAGCAGCGCTTGACAAATTACATAGACCTTTTCCGCAGTGCAGTGTGGCAACTACCGCTGCTTAATCCTGGGAAGGGGGCAGGGGCTTAAATCCTGGGGAGGATTGAGTTGATACATGCACATACATGTGTATATACCCCACAACCAAAGTTTGAATTCAACGCCCTCAAAAATGCAGAGCGTGGTACAAGCATTCTCACGTTAATTAACCATAGAGGAAGAAAAATTGTGACCACACGGTCATAAAAACGGCAGTGAAGAAAGGTACCCTAGGGTGATTTGGATTTATGAAGCTGCCAAGTATTTTTAATTTGTGTCCCTGAGTCAGAAGTATAGACAATAGCCGAGCCACCCAAAAGCTCCAGTGAGTCTTTTTAAGTCTTGCCTGTAAAAAAGGAATCGACTGTACTATGCGTCTGTTAGAATCATTAGATCGGCAACTGAATGTGCATATCTCCCTGCACCATGACATATTTGTCATCTGATGACGAAATGACGTGGAAGTTGACAACATGGCATTGTAAACAACGCTGTAACTTCACACCATATCTGAAATATAAACTAATCCCGACGTCACCTTGGAGTAAACACGTGTATTTACTCCAAGATATTTGTTGCCTTTTGTTTTACTCACTAAGTGAGTACTCCTTCCTGTACTGAGCTACATGTATATGAAAATATCTTTAAAAATATTGTAACGCAAAATCTAATGGCGTCAGCGCGATGAATTAAATTTGATAGATTTTATAATGAAGGGTTTAATATCGGTGAAGTTTCAATGTGAGAATTAAAAACTGCCAAGAAATGCAGTAAAAGAAACATATATATGGAAATTTGTAGAAAATTATTCTAAACTTAAAATTCCAGTGATGAAGTTATCAAGACGTCACTTTCAAACAGTAGTTTAGTTTCTATCTACCAGGCGAAATCATGTCAAACAGACCTCGTTTAGTAGGTGTATCAAAATTTTCACTTTGTGATGACGTCATCATGACGTTCACAATTTCCCCAAACTTACGCCCCACATGTGCTTGGACTTATGTCCAAGGCTGGACTTGGACCGGGTATCTTGTACTCAAGGTTTTACAAAAATTTAACCAGAAGTTGTTTTATTTAGGACAGAATATGTGATGCGATCAAGCAAAATGAGTCATTTTGTTGTCCTAGACCAGTTTATTGAATTCCTAATTCGAAAAGTAGGCCTATACATTGAGGACTTCATTGAGCATGAGCATTTTATTCTGAGACGTTGCTTCCTCTAAGTCGGCGAACTCATTGCATCACATAATGCCGGAGAGAGTGTTGAAATCGGGAATATTTAAAAAGTAAAGATGCACCGTAACGGTATAAAGTGATAAGTGCTACTATTCATTTCACACACCTATGTTCCATACGTATACATTGTATATGTTTCTTGAAGTGTGCGTGTCCGATTCTGACGGTGATTTGCATACAAAATGAGGGTTGTGGGAATTTTTGCTATGTAAGCAGCTGTGTCGTTTCATGAAATGTACGTCTTTTATCCTAACATGTTTCGTGAAAATAAAGTCGAACAATAAATTAATAAACCAGTGACTTTTGTCCAACGCTCTTTTCGTGAGCAGTGGTTTGTTTGTATTTTGCTCCGAGTGTTGAGGCACCGGCGGGAGCTGTGTTGAGCTGATATGATACATGACGCAGTCTCTGCACCAAGGAACAACACCATTAGCTTTGAGCGAATTAATTAATACATTATTATTGCAGTAATGTGAGATGATCGGTCTCCATGACTGGATTCGCTGGAAAAAAAAGGCTGCATTCTTTCAAAACGCCGAGTGGAGTCAACAAAACGGGAAAGAAACGTAGAGTGCGAAATTTCTTTTACACAACAGGCTGGGGACACCCGACTTGATTAAAGGCCATGCATAATCAGGCTCTGGAGATTCTTGTTGGAGTGAAGTCAGGCATTTCAGCGGGGTAGGTTTTCCCGACGCTCGGAGACTATAGGCGTCTCTCAAAATTGTAAAACCCTTTTTGTCCAATAGAAAAGTACATGTAATGTATATTCCCAGACTGTTGCGTTATTTCTAAAACTTCAGAACAAAATAGAAGAGCCTTCTTGGGCATTGAATATCATTGCCCTTTCTGTTCAGAGGCAATCAAGTTGGAATCTTGGCTACTTTATAATTTAAAGAGCACCTCTAAAGAAAACATCTTTCCTCGGAATTTATCTGTTCAAATAAATATGGAAGCATCCAGTGGTATACGATGTCATTTGTCTTCAGAGCTCAACTACATGTACAACAAGCTAAAAAGGGCCTTTTTTCTGTTCATGCGCAGATGCAAATGCTGAATGTAGATTGCGTCATTTGGAGAAAACAGGGCCTGTATTTGTAGTGGATTAACCTTGTACTTGCCAAACAATGGCTACATGCATTGTTTGGCATGCACAGGGTTTATCCACAACGAATGCGGTGATCCCGACATCGGGTGACTGAAGTGAAGCCCGCGGTAAAATTTAAGTACAATGGACATAACGGCTATGTGGATTTCAACAGGATTTCACAAGCCTCTGTCAACAAAGTTTTGAATTATTGAAATTACACATTATATCTCAATTTTTGTTTTGCTAAATCCAAACTGTCATAGACCCAGGCCCTGCATATTTGCCTGAACTGTTTGTTAGACATGATGTACATGTGTTTGAACTGCATGCCCTAGACCATGCCCACCGCATGGCCAGTGCCTGTTCAACTTTCACAGGCGGCCCTTGGGCCCAGCACTTGGCCAGTGCAGAACGCAGTATTTTAAAGAAAAAGGGAGAGCAGAACAAAAGCTGTCCAGCTCCTTTACTTGTGGCCCTCCGTGTGTCTGCTGTTCCACCAGGACCTGCGTGCTGATTTCCCCACCCTAGCTGTTGTGAAACTTTCCCCCGGCCTCATCAGGCTTACTCGCCGTATCCTGGGAACCCCAGCCCCCCCCCCCACCCTGCTGGCCAATTGCCCCGCCGCCCACTCACCTGCCCACCTCCTTACAATTAATCATAAGGTATGGATGGATATCAGGATGTGACAACATCCAGCTTCAAAGAGTCATGCAAAGACGGTCAGACGTCTCTAAAATATGGATCTCCCTATGACAAAAAGAGAATTGTTATAACGTACATAATATAATTGTATTTCTCTTTTAACCTGTAAAAATTATTTTCATGATAAAAGTATG